ATAAGCCGCACTGCTGGTTTTTGATAAAATTTTAGGATTTTCAGTGCGGCTTATGGTCGTGAAAATACGGTACATAGGATCCTAAGATTTCTGCCCTGTACTATAGTTTAATCATTAAACTATAATTTAATATTAAACATTAAAAGAGGTGTAATTGACTTAATTTTGCATTTTGCATCTACTGGCAATCTGCACTTCAGTTATCCTTGTTGCAATAAAAAGTAACAAACATTCTATCAGAAGCAATGAAGCCATTATTGGAAGAGGGTGGGATCAGCCCTACAAAGTCACAGTGACAGGCCTCTCCCCTTTAATGTTGCTGGTTCTATTTAGGGTGAAGTTCTTCATGTTATATACACATTATATATCGGGGGGGGGGGGGAGACTGCTGAGAAATAAGATCAGCACAGTTCCAACCTCTCCCTCAATAAGAAACCCTCAAGTATTTAGCAACAAAAGTCCCATTATTCCACCTGAGCATCAAAATCACAGCTTACTATTTTGTAGAGCGTAAAGTGGGAAGATTGGCTCACAAGGTGTTGGACAGAAAGCAGATTTCATTTGTAAATACAAATGCAGGCTTCACCCACCAGTCCCACTTCCGTTTCCCAAATTCCTTCCATTCCTCCCTTTTTTGAGTATTCCCGTTTTTGATCCCATCTTCCTATTACTCACTGTAGTTTTCTCCAAGCAGTGCAAGAGATGGTGGTGCTGTTTTTCAAAAGCTGATCGGTTGCGCACCGCCAAGGCATGTGCATCAGGATCTCTGTCCTGATGGAGAAAGAAGATAAAGGCAGATGAGGTATCTGATTGACACGCCAGCACATTACCATTCCATTTCAACAATTGGCAGCTCCAGCTTGAATATCCACATATCTAAATGATCAGAGCCATCCATTGGACACGCAAGTAGAAATGTAAAAATGGGGGAAACCGCCTGAGTGCATACGTTTTAAAACCTATTCAACTTTTAAATATATTTAGAGTGTTGTAATTCAGATTGCAAGACGGGTGGCAGAGTATCTGAGTGCCTTCCATTGGAAAAAAAAAAGCTTTCTGCATTTAGAAAACAATTCTGCAGGGTTAGGGTGTGGCTATATTTGTCTTCTCTAATGGACTACCTTTCTGTCTACAGGGAATTGATATTTTGCAAAGTAGGAAGCCTTCCAACAAAGAATACTCCAGTTGCAATATAAAGCCGGGAGCTTATTTAAAATTGGAATTGAGTTTAGAACATTTGAGGAGTACTGGATTAGACTTTTGAAGTCATTTAAAAAAAAATTACTTACTGTTCATATAATATATCACAAACAAGATAAACAGGTAATTTAAGAGTAGGCTTCTATGATGCCTAGATCAAAGATCTATTAGCCAAGATCAAAGTATTGATCAGCAAAGGGGGAAAATTAGCAATCAGAACAGAAACCAAGTGGTACAAGACTTGACTGCAATGTAGGAGGCTGCATTTTTGCAGTCCTTGACATTTCCAAACCTTCTTCAAGGACAGTCTGACTCATAGAATATTTGGAAAACACCAAAGCATGAATGACAGCAGTTAAGTTCATTGTACCACAGGAGACACAGAATCTGAATCACCTAAAGCTGATAGAAAGACATGAGGACAACAGTAGCCCCTGAAAGTCCAGGAGTTATGAATTGGGTCCTTTGACAGAACAGGAGACCATCCAGAGTAGCTGTTTCTTTCAGCCAGTCTTCCTCTATCCTTAACAATGAATGGGTTCAAAACCTAGTAAACTATTATTTGTTTTAGTTGCTGTTTGTTGAATACATGAAAATGGGCTAGGTAAACAGCAATGCATGTGCTCACCCAAGCCAACACAAAACAAATTATTTTGTAGTATAATGCAATGCTTGAAACCGAGCCTTTGTTTTATTTGGACAGCACTTTAATTAAATTGCTCTCATTAATGAATGGGACTTTGCACAAAAGAAGCTCGCATCTTCCCTTAGATTTGATGAGAAGGAGAAATAGAGATGGGAATCTTGGACATAAATCTAAACCAAGTGCCAACATTTCCAATGACCCATTCGAGGGATTTTATGATTATATTAACAAGTGTGGCAGATAATAGAGAACTAGAATTATTCCCTGGGGAAGAGCATTCCAGCATTTGGTTTCCGAAAGTGACTCATGGTGGAAGCTCTGTTCTACGCTTGGCCCAAGGATGTGTAACTGTTGGCCCTGGGGATGAACATGGTACTCAGCCTAATTTCAAAAGCCCTCTGAAGACAACAATCACATCAACTTCTCGTTTTGCCAGAGGTCTAGACTGATCATTTGCAGATTGTTTCTGAAATTAGGCTAAGTGCTGCATGCATCCCCATAAATAAAGTAAATAAAATGGGGAAATAGAAAAACAGACCAAGAGGCGGGGGGAACATTAACAGATGTGACAGAAAGCGAATGGCCAAGAAAGGGAAAGAGGGCTGGTACTGTATATCCCATTCTTTTTCTCTCTCTTTTTTTTCCCTTATCTTTCGGCAATTAGCTCTGTTTGGCTTAACATTGCAGCTCTGGCAAATTATTCTTACCCTGATGGAATGCACTGGAGAGAATGTCTACAGCCCAGCTGTAGTCAACCCCAAAGATCAAAAGTTTAGGTTTGCTCATTTTGACTGCAATAACAAAAACGGAGCGTATTGGCTCAAGCAAGGAGGAGGAAACGCACATGTTTCCCATTCACACTGATCCTTGTTTTCCTTATCTAGGAAAAGGCAACTGGTTTAAGAAAACAACCTGTGCAATTGTCTTAAGGATGCCCAGCATGGAGAAAACTGAGGGCACCAAGGTGAACAGAGAATTGAGTTCATACCTCAAGGCCTCCATTCTGCTTGTACTGAAGATAAGCATTGGTAGTGCCACTCTTGGCCAGTCGTATTCGGGCCAGGCGAACTTTCTGTAAAGGGAGAAACACAGGGAACCATTTGTGGAATGTCACAGATAGTTGAGCTCCCCATGTCTATGATCTCCTCCTCCTCCTCCTCCTCCTCTTCCTCCACATCTACCTGCTGAGCTCGTCGCTTATCTGCCCGCTGATTCTGGTGGTAGATACGGCTGAAGTTGGAAACAATGACAGGTACAGGAAGGGCGATGACCAGCACCCCACTTAGGGAGCAGATGGATCCAAAGATCTTCCCTGCAATGGTGCTTGGAACCATGTCACCATAGCTGCAAGAGATACGACAGTTACTGCAGCCCTTAAGCCATCTCACAATTGCCCAGATAAGCCTGTTACCCTCTGTCTTATAACACCCAGAAATGAACATATCACCTCCACCAACTAGTGCCTTTCAGATATAGCAATAGCAATAGCAATAGCAGTTAGACTTATATACCGCTTCATAGGGCTTTCAGCCTCTCTAAGCGGTTTACAGAGTCAGCATATTGCCCC